GAGCCGGAGAGAGAGGACACACACACACATCTCCAGAGGAGAGCCGGAGAAGAAGAGGTTGCCTGGTTGAATCCTCCATCATGGCTCTGAGGGACGAGCTGCTGAAGTCCATCTGGCACGCGTTCACTGCTCTGGACCTGGACAAGAGCGGGAAAGTGTCCAAATCTCAGCTGAAGGTAAAAAACAACAACACTCAACCATAGTTCCAGGTGTTTTTGTAAGAGTCTGAAGTGAGAGCACACTCCTCCTCCGCCCTTCATCCACCGTGTCCTCTGTTAGCACAGTGTTAGCACAGTGTTAGCAGACTGCTCCTCACCTGCTCATCGATTAGTAGAAACTTCAGCAACTTCCGGGACAAAACCCACCACAATCAATCAGTCATGAGTCAAAGGGTGTTAAATGAAGACGTTCCATTGGTTTAGAAGTCACCGTGACTGACACCTGCATCAGTCTGTGGCCCAGAGGGAAGGAGCAGGTGTTGTAAAGTGATGGCAGTAGAGCTAAAGGTCTGACACTAGATTAGGAATATTATTCTAGTGCTCAAATTCAAAGTTCTCTGTGTTAAAATGGTCATTTGTTCATGAAACAATGAGTAACTCGCCCTCAGAGCTCAGCATCATTATACGAAGAATATATTAAGTGTTTTCTGCCTCTAAACAACTTAATCTGTATTCATGTGCGATGTTTCATGGTTGAATGTTTTGTTCATTGGACAAGAGCTGGGCCAGTCAGTGGAAAACTCCAGATGAAAACACAGATCAGCAAATCAAAACTTTTTTAAGTTTCCCGGAAGATAACTCGAAATGTTTACAACATTACGACATGCCCACATATTTCCAGGTCTGTTAACACTGCAGCGTGCCAGCCAAACATTGTTCATCAGCTAACATCATTAACAATAAAGGTCAGGGTTTCAGGTCGGCTGTGTCTGAATCTCAAGAGAATAGTTTATTTCTGCCTCTGTAGACCAGAATGCAATGCAGCTTGTTGTTGAAAGAGGTGGAACCCCTTCTCTTTTCTGACCCAACACCCTCTTTCTAAAATATTCTCCTCTGTGTGTATATGTTTGTGCACCATCTGAATGCAGCAGCCTGGCAAAAGATGACATGTGAAACACAGGAAATCACCAGCTTAAGAAAAACTATACATTTGTCAATAAGTGTACTCGTTTCAAAAGTTACTCCAGACATGTGTACGTCATCACAGACTGTTGCCAACAGTATAAACTGGAGTCCGATTTTTTACGAACACAATACCAATACATGTCAAAGTCCAGTAATGAACCAAGAGGAGCAATACACACAGTTCATGAAAGCTGTGTAATAATTAGAGCTGAAATAACTAGTCGATCAACAGAAAATTAATTGGTAACTATGGTTACTATTTTAGGCAAAATGCCCTAATCCTCTGGTTCCATTTTATTAAATGGGAATATTTGCCATTAGGCTATTACTTTAGCTCTTGATTAGGCTATTTGGTAAATTTGACTATCTCTGAATGTTTCATTTTCTCTACAATTTCTGTAAATTAGGTTCCTACTATATTGTATTCCTGAGTTAAAAGGTTGAATGAATGAATGAATGAAAAAAGTAGTCGATTGAATATCTTTGAGTTTTGGACTAAACCAGACATCTAACTACATCATGTTGGACCTTAGAGAATTGTAATGAGCTTTTGTGAGAAAACTGCAAATATCCTCATGTTACAGCTTCTCAAATATGAAGAGTTGCTGATTTTCTCTGTTTTTGCATTGTGAACTAAATATTTTTAGGGTCCAAGCACTGACAGTGCCAGGACACTATTAGAATTGCTCCGATTATTGGGTTTTGTATTCTTAGTCACTCTGATTGATCCATTAGAAGATGTCACATTGTGCTCAAGGACACTGTGATGGACATTTCCTGTTTTATTTTATAGACTTCACAATTGACCTAATAAATTAAGAAATTCTATAAACACAATCAAGTAATCAAACCAAATTTTTGCTCCAGGTTCTGTCGCACAATCTGTGTACAATGATGAAGATCCCACACGACCCTGTGGCCCTGGAGGAGCATTTCAAAGACGACGATGAGGGTCCTGTTTCCAACCAGGGGTACATGCCGTACCTGAACAAGTTCATCCTGGATAAGGTCAGTCAACAACAATGATTGTCACTAGATAACCACTTGTTGATGGAAGAAGACATTATATTAAGCGCAATTTAGTCAACTCGTCAAGTCAGAAAATCAGGATGTGAAACTTCAGCTGAAGTTCAATAAAGGACATGGTGGTTCAGTGCACTATGGCTTTTCTGTGAATTTGTCCTCATCATGTTTATTTTATTTTTTTAAATTTATTTTGTCACCAAAGTGAGTCACCAGTACAGTGTAAGTGACTCTTCATCTCGTTGTGTGGGAAATGAGACAATATCAGGAGAACTAAAACAAACTCGAAAGCAGACCTGAAAAGAGATGTGGCACGAAATTCAAGGGTTTTAATTGTTTTAAATATCCATTCAGATATATCTGAAACAAAATCCTCTTACTGTCTCACTGCCAAATCCAGATAAGACAGGCTGTTGTTGTAATCCTCTGGATGGTCTTCAGTAGTTTGTGCCGTCTCAGCATGTATGTATTAATTGTGGCGAGTATGTGATCGTTGTCTCATTGATTCTTTCATTCAGTTAAGATGATCTTTTTAATGTCTCATTTAATAATGCAGAGTGTAAAAATCCATTGATTGCCACACAGCATTCATATATTGTGCTGTGTCACAGTGTTATTTCTGTCAGTCGTTGTACTCAGCTCAAACAGCCCCAGTCATTGAACACTAAGTCGATTCATTCAGCTGTCCGTCCATCCCTCTGTCCATCCGTCCCTCAGTGATGATGTTATAACGGGTCACAGCATGAATGGAACGTTGGGAGAGAAAAGGCCTTTCATTTTGTGATGTCATAAGCAACTCTGAACTCTCGCTGGCTGTCTGGTATTCTTGCAGTATGATGTCATGATGATGGTCTATGGGTGTTGCCGTGGTGAGAGGCTTGGAATTCTGTTGTCATAAGAAAACTCTCCTAAAGGTCACAGAACCTTTGACCTCTGGTTGGACCAACGTGTCTGCCCAGGTCTTGACAAGTCTTAAAGTGGATTTACTCCCCTCAGCACAAAGGCCTTTTAGGCATGAAAAAGTCTTGAATTCAATTTAAAAAAGTGTTGAATATCTTCTCTTGTTTTGTTTGTTCAGTCCCAAAAAATCTGCCCCATCTTTACATTGTGTTGCTAACACTCTCGCTGGAATGTCTGAAATGATTTTCTAAACACCTATGATATGTTTAATATTGATAAAAGTTTTTG